CACACACACACACACACACACACACACACACACACACACACACACAGAGAGTAGGGGAGGAGAAGATTCTTTCTTGTTACAGACCAACGGAGTGTATAGAGGCTGAGTTCACCCATGCTGAAATGGCCACATACAGATGAATGAATAGCACAACTAAAATCTGTGATGCATTCTTAGTATTCTTACTGCTGTCCATGTCCATTGGATATTCGAGACAGCAGCGAATGGCTTCTCCACCACACCTTAATGCTCCCATCTCCACTGGCAGATATAAGAATGTTCTCATTCTCCTGCAAACACACACGAGTGACGTGAAATACATACATTGCGAGAAAATGGTATGAGCACTGAGGGCAAAAAAAAAACAAAAAAAAAAACAAAGAAGAGCAGCAAACCCGTAACAACTACAGTCACCCAGACTCCCATTTCCTGCATGTAAATTGCAGCACCCTGCTGTGCTGGTGTGTTTAACGGGGCTGTGGGCAGCTTTAGTTGAAGGCATACTCACCCTACGACTTTTTCACCTATTTTTGGATCGAATTGCCAAATACAGTCAGGTATGGCCGTGAATGCGGTCAGATACACTTGAGATACTGCTAGTGTGAATAGGCCCTGAAGGCTTTTTTTTTTTTTTTTAAACAACAGCTCTGTCTGGTGCTAGTGGTGCTGGTAAGAGCAGACACCACTAGCACCTTGCACAGAGGCTCCATCTATTGGTGGGGAGCATCACCTGCTGGAAAACGGTTCCAGTGTCCCTGAGACAGAGTAGTACAAATGAATCAGAACAAGGAAAGCATTGTGCCTGCCAGCATTGATTACTCTGGACCAGCTAGTCAGTCCCATAACAGCTTCTTCGGCGTCTTTCGGCATGGCATGGCTATCACTACCTCACCGTGTTTATGCGATTGCATGATAAGGATCCACTTCACCTCAAAAAAGGCATGCCATGCAGTGCACATATGGAATATTATGGATACATTCAAACAGGGGGGTTCGGGGAAGGGGAAAAAAAAGGGGGTAGGGGAAAGGAAAAAAAGGGGTAGGGGAAAGGAAAAGCGGGTAGGGGAAGGAAAAAGGAAATCAAAGCAGGCAGCTTTTGACGTTTGCGGATTTTGCTCAACCTTGGAAGTCTTGTCATGGTTTGGTTTCACAATAAGACGATAGATAGAACTCATAGCACCAAAGAATAAACGTCCAATGACAAAATGCATGCCCAGGTTCCACTTAGAAGCAGATAAGGAATTCGTACGGCATCTGCAAGACCACACACACTCGCAAACCAACATATTGCCGGAAAGGTACTAAAGAATCTGCAACTTCCTAAAAGCAACTTGGCGGCAAAGGCTGCTCACTAGAACTCGTGTCTGCTTCGCTGAACAACGATATTGACGGCAAAAACAACAAAAACAGAAGAAGGAGGAGGAGGAGGAGGAGGAGGAGACGAAGAACAAGATGAAGAAGAAGGAGAAGACAGGAGAAAAGGCAGGAGGACGTAACGAAGAACAAGATGAAG